AAAGATAGCTTTGAACCCTGTATGGGCTGCCGCATCGGTCCATATGACTGGGGATGATTCAGAGATGGGGAATAAACATCGCCTTCCCATTCCACCGAGATAGAAATCTAAGCCATATGCATAGGTCAGCCTTAGCGTGTGTATCTAAGGGAACGGTACTTTTGTCAGTATTTAGAAGGTCAAGAAGGCACAGTATTCTGGAAATAAAAGCCCGGCCCTGTGGAATAACTGTCATGGTGAAGTTCAGCGTGCCTATTAAGGATTGTAGTTCCATTCTAGTACACGTGGCCTTAGCCAGCAAATATTCTACAGACGCTCTGATATGTTGTACCTTTTCCATAGGTAAATTGGCTTATTACAAGATAGAGTCTAGATGAATTCCAAGGAAAGTAAGATTAGTCGTAGGGCCAACAGTTTTTTTTCTGAGAAAGTGCAACACCTATATTAGAAAATAGAGCCATTGTCTTATGAATGCTAATAGGTGTGGATTGAGGTTTTTCTATAGTGAAAAATCATTTAGATAATGTATGACTGATGGACATTCGGAAACGTTGAGGAGTAGCCAACATAATGTGTCAGCAAACACAGAAAATTTTGGACTACTCTTAGCACCAAAAGTCAATCGTGTGGCAAAGTTGTATTTGCTCTACCACAGTATGCATAGTGATATATGTATGGGTAAAAGCTTGAAGGCGTTGGAAACATCAGTTTTTCCTAACCATGCTCCTACACCAGCCTTCAGTATGGCATCATCTACTGCAAGGAGAATTCCTTAGATTGAATTAATAAGTTGATGCTAGGGGTGGACAATGGATGTGGAGCCGATAAATCGTAAATTAGTCTCTTTTTATTGTTGAAGTTCCCTGTGGCTATACCTATGTGATTGGTAAACCAGCAGGAAAAGGGTGGTTTTGAGAAAGGGCCTATAATAAACCCGTTCAATTCTTTCATGAGCAACGCCCCAGTGATGATGGGGTCAAGTAGGGCAGACTGTAAATTTGGGCACTCGTGTGCACCAGTGGATAGTCATAGAACAAGAAACTACCGTACTTGTGCCCCAGGTCCACCAACTCATGCATGTACAAATCAAGCTCTTCCCTACGGTGAGGTGAAGAGGAACAGATTACGCCATGGTACAGACCAAAAGCCAGGACAAATTCAAGACAGAAAGGTCACCATAGCAGTATGCTTTATTCTCCACTACATCCTGAGATGCAATGAGCAAGGAGACTAGGTTTACGTCCTTGCCTTCCAGGATGTCTTTGCACATAGTTGGGGGCACAAAGAGAGAGGGTGTAATGATGTGAGCGGAAGTGCTAGGTGTTGGGTTACTGGTGGTGTCATTACCATGAGAGGGAGCTGGGGTTGGAATATCTACGGACGGGTCAGATTTCGACGGCTGAGGAGATTACAATTTCTCCAGTCTAGCACTGATAGTGTTAATAGAAGCGAGCATGGAAGACATTAAACCCTTGATTTTAGAAAATCTTTCGGGCTGTAGGACAACACCTGGCTGGGGAGTACAGGTATTGGTGATGTAAAGTCTATATAATTCAGCTACGTGCTGTGGCTGGGAATGGAACCCTTATTCATCATAACTCAGCTGCGAGTCTAGGGATTGTCCAGGAACGTAAGGAATATGGGCTGGCTGATTCCAGGTTTTCAGTAGGGGTGCTTGGACCGGCCGGGGTGGAAGGCCTGACTGGGGTTTCAGGCATAACGAGTTCCTTGTCTTGTTCTGGGATTTGAGACATACTAAGAACATTAACATGGGTAAAGATGAGAACTCTAGAGATAAGCAAGCACCTATGTCAGCTGGCTCTAGCTAAGCCTAAAGCGAAAAAATTACCTGGGCTACATGGCAGATGAGGCCCTATCGATACCAAGAGGCGAGAGAGAGGCTCTATCTAGTGGGTGGGAGCCACTGAATGAAGACTTGGTGGTTTCCTGACTAGTTACCAACTACCGGTTAATTTGAGGCTTTAACTATGCGGGGGCCGAGGGGCGTGTACCTCCATAGAGGATGGGTGTTGGCCTCACGGGAGCAGATTAATTACAGTAAGCTAAGGACAATGCAAGTAACTAAATAGCCAGCCAGTTGACTTACCCTAGCCTATAGCGGGAAAGGAGTATGATGTAATAATGGAGATGTACCTAGCTTACGGTAAAGAAGGATTAATACTTTGAGAACCTGAAAAGGAAATGTGGAAGATTAGGTCGTAGTTGGGCCTATTTTTTTGGTAGCGTATTTGTGAGTAAAACTCACCTGTAGAACGATGACAGTGATTCGTAGTGGCGTTGCTATTAGTGGCTATCTGAGGATAAAATAATGGTCATGAACTGGTAACGTAGGTAATGACAGAAGGTGACAATGAAACATAGTATACCTGTGAACTTGAGTAAGAAAATCCAATAAATTCCCCTAAATTCAGGCGAGGGTAGCACCGGTAATAAAGACCTATAATAGAGTATGGACAGGAACGTAAGTGGACGTGTGGTAACTTATGGGTGCATGAATGTACATGCATATTTGAAATAAGATATACTGAGTGTGATAGACAAAATGTACACCAAGTATTCCGATAATTTAGGTAATTGTTAACAAATAAGTAATGGAGATTAGGGCCTACGCATCCCTATGAGTGTGGTCATTGAAATAGCCATTGTGACAACACAGATCATGGTAAAATAAATACACATAATATACGTACCCTGTGTATGGGAGAATAATCGTCACTAAGTGATATTAGTGAAGTGTAGGCAGTCGAATGAGACTGCGATGAAATTATACAGCTTTGAGACATACCTAATATGGGGAACAAGTAATGATACAAGAGCATTGGTAAACAGTGAACATGAGATGTGGGCACTTGATACAGTATTTGATAAAATATCAACGGGATAAAATAACATTTATTGAATGTCTAAAAGGACTTTAATGCAATCCTGACATCTACGTATTCTAACACATTTTCAGTAAGAACAGTTAACCTAGGATGGAGTTCTCATAAATTCGAATGAATTTGTCTAACTTAAACAAGAGAATACATGTAAATGAACTTGTTTATAAATAGTAATTACACCGACTGTCAGAATGAAGTTTTGTCGCAAGGGGTTGCATGTATGCCAACTAGAGCACTTAGTTCGGGTAAATTCATACGAACGAATGGCACCGAACATAAACACGAAACGTAGAACAGAACGGATTGGCATGAACAAGATACGAAATGGGTTCATTCGCAAGAATGGGAGATGTGCAGCGGCCGAACATATAATAAGCATGGACCCTTTCGGGTCAGCCTGGTACTAATTCCGGCGGGCTCCAACAGGAACGAGTAGTAGAGCGGAGCATGCGGCTGGAGATCAGCGGCTGTAGCAAGGTGAGTTGGACAGCAGGGAGACTGGGTCTGCGAGGTGAGTATTTCTACCAGGCTGGGCAGACGTGCTGCGGGACAGGGTAGCCTTTGCAGGGAAAGTTAGCTTGCTTGGAGACCGCATAGGAATGAAGCCTCAGGTGAGTGAACTGGAAGTCTAGGGTTCTGAATGAACCCAGTGGTGACGGTTCTGTCATGGAGGGGGCCTGAGTTTTTATAGCCGGGTAACCCCTCCCACAATTACAGGCTACACCTATATATGTATATATATATATATATATATCAGTGTGTGACTAATATGGCTACAATCTCTACTTGAACAGTGTGTGTGTGTGTGTGTGTGTGTGTATATATATATATATACACATATGAGATAGTTAATACATTGCTAAACACAAATACACACACCAGTTAAGCCATAAGACTTGCTTTTCCCACAGAAATCTCACTTTGGCAAGAGATTCTGGGTAGGTAAATGCAAATGAGCTCAACAAAAAAATTATTTTGCCTCATAATTCCACTATACATGGATCAATATATATATATATATATATATATATATATATAAATATATACACACACACACATATACAGAATCTCCTGTACCCAGCACTCACTGTTCCCAGTCTTGTACTCGCCAAATCCAAACCAAATCATATAATTCACAGATAAAGTGCTCTCGAAGGTCTTAATATGCTTTCATTCAGCAATTACAGCGATTACAAATCATGTCATGTCGACGTTTCAGTCCATACAGACTTTTATCTTGATTAAGACCGGGTGGACTGAAATGTCGACATGACATCTAATCACTGTAATCGCTGAATGAAAGCATATTAATAAGACCTTTGAGTGCACTATCTGGGAATTATATATGTATAGAACTACTGATATTACTAAATCGAGGGAAGCGGGAAGGGATAGGATGGAGCACAGGAGGGAGGGAACAATGATGCTATCCTTTGCAGGCGCACTCCCAGCTGTAGAAACTGTAGTAGAAGCTGACTGCGCCTGGAGCCAGTGTGTATTGAGCTAATCTTTGCATGGAATTGAAATTAGGGAACACAGAACAGAGTTTGAGCTTCCTATGTCATGTATGCCAGAAGTGCAACAAACTGCAAATATATCAAGCAACAATGCTGCACATACATATTCCTACAAGGATGACCATGTCTAAAAGCAGAAGTGGTCATGGTGATTGGAGGAAACCTATAATTGTTCTGAAAGGTGCATTAATTATTAGCATTAAGCAACACATAGGTTGTATCCACACTGAACCACCAATAGAACACATGTGTATATGTAACAAATCAAGTGACTTGTTAGAATAGTATGTTTGTTGAGTAGTGGATGTGTGTCCAGCTCCCTAGCAGAGTTAAAACTCCCACGCAGAACACCAAAGCCTAGAGACACCTGCACAGCCATTGTACAGGTGTGCTAGAGGAAATGTGTGGGTGTCAGAGTTCAGTCCTCAAACAGCATCTGTGCTTCCTGGAAGCAAAATTCTGAACATGTCATTTAAAAAAGCACTCAGGAGTTTATACTCTGACTGGATAATCCTGTCCATCTAATGTGCTGTAGATGTTTTTCCCCTAAAAATGTAATCAATGAAGTGTCACACTAAAATATGCAGAATTAGGGAAACTTGTTTAATAAAAGCCACCATATAACAAGAAAATAAACTTCCAATGAAAGGTATAGAATAGTAGAAGAGATTTGTTTGTGTGGGAGATAAAACATGACCTAATTTTAACATGACTTAATCATACAGGATGGTGATCTACATGCTACATCAAGTGCATCATAGGAGTATGTTCACAATTAACCCTTATAATAATAGCTTGGGTTTAAACACCAGAACAACGGTCAGTATAGGTGAATGCAGAGATACAGACAGGGTAATTCACTAAACTGCAAATTCAAAGTAAATTTAAGGTCAAAATAACAGGAACATTTCTGTAAGTCAGCTATTCTTTCAGATCGGCTCCTCTTGTCTGAAATTTTAAATTCACTTTGAATTCTCACTTTTTTAAATAACTGAGAGACAAACCTAGTTAATTATCCTTTAAAATCTTAAAATACAGCTATAATATTAGTCATTGTGTGGTTGGGAATACATCTGGATATTGTATTACATCAGGAAGATCTCTTAGGGATAGTAGGGCCTCTGTGTATGAAAAAATTAATTCCCCATTGGGCATGTGACTCCGGTCCCCTTAATGCCACAGTAGCCTTCTGGGTTTTTGTGCAGGTATTGCTGGTGGTAATCCTCGGCATAGTAGAAGACAGGAGTAGGGTGGATCTCTGTGGTGACAGCGCCCCAGTTACATCTTGCAAGTTGCTATAAATATATTGATACAACAATATAAAAAAGTTGCAGTCACATTTGTTAATTAACAGCTTTCAATACACTTAAACTTTTTATCCTTAAGAAGATTTGATGATACAGATTAACATTAGCAGGTATGACAGGGACATTTGAAGTCTAAAAAAAAAAAAAAAGACATTCTAAAAAAAGTCTTTAAAAATAAAAAAAAAGAAGACATTCTAAAAACATTATTGAATGCATTATGCCTATAACAGCATAAATAACCAACAGTAAAACCCCTTTAGAATGGCACTTAAACGTAAAAAAATAATTACTAATGTAACCTTACGTTTAGTCTACGATGCATTGACACATGTAAAACATGCAGTAGTTTAGAGTATAATATTCCCATTTAGTAACTGACCATTACAGTATTGTTTTCAGTAATGTTTTGTTAGATAGATTTTATTCTCTATGCATTGCCTTTCTAGACAGGTGAATAAACACGTATTTCAGGGGTATTTGAAAAGTACATCTTCCGATGTTCTACCTGGTCCTAATTCGAGTTACATTTGTAAAACATATAGGGATCTACATACGTAAGAGCCAAAAAAAATCTGGGGGGGCAGTCCACAATTATCTCAGCCCCATTTTTGGGAGCATACATTTCTGCAATTTTCAAAAGACAAAATAACTCTTAAAATATGTTTGTTTTGTTTTTCTTATCTTTGTAAAACATATGACTTCTGGGGGATGACGACCTAGTGTCATCCCCCTATGTTGTCTTTACACCCATGCTTAATACAATCGACAGATATATATAGGAACTATAGAAATATAGTCCACAAAGGATGCGGTCAGCAGTCTTTGGATCCAATTGCTGGCCCAACACACCCTCTGCTGGTTGTACTGTAACATGACAACATAAATTACTACACAGTCTCAAGACGTTTACATTATTATTTTATTATTTATATAGCGCCAGCAAATTCTGTTGGGCTGTACAATGGGTGGACTAACAGACATGTAATTGTAACCAGACAAACTGACACACAGGAACAGAGGGATTGAGGGCCCTGCTCAATGAGCTTACATGCTAGAGGGAGTGGGGTATAGTTACACAAAGGGCAGGCCTAGGCAAAACTAAAGTGTGCCGCCCCCCCATGTGACATCACAATGCCCCACCCATATGATTTTGCCATGTTAACTAACGCCAGTGCTGCAGTGCCGCCGTGTTTACATTAAAAAGCCTGCAGGGACACTATAGTGTTTCTCCCCCCTCCCTGTCAATTTCTTTCTCCCTCCCCCCTCTTCCTATTAGTCCAGCCGGGTACAGGAGACCGATGCTCCCTGTACCCGCGGACCATACAGAGCTTGGCAACGCTACAGTGAGGGAGTGACAGGATGGAGGTCTGAGCGCTTCCCTCCTGTCAGCCCCTCTCCTCATGCTGCACCCGGGGCGGTGCGCCCTCATGGATGCACCAGCCCGGGCAAAGCTGCAGACGCCTGAGGCTCTCTACAGAGCGCTCGGACGGCTGCAGCATGAGGGGGGCCGACGCTCCTGGCGGCGCCCCTTCCCAAGTGGCTCACTAGGCAGCTGCCTAGTCCGCCTAACAGGTAGCGCTGGCCCTGACAAAGGGTATATGTAGGGGTAATGAACTTAGGTTATTTTTGACAGTTACAGGAGAGGAGAATGAAAACCCGCTAACAGTTTTAATGATATGCTCTCCTGAAGAAGTGTGTTTTTAAAGTTTTTTTTTAAAGGAGTGGAGACTGGGTGAAAGTATAACGGAGAAGGGAAGGGAGTTCCACTAATAAAGGTGCAGCCCTGGAGAAGTCTTGGAGGCGAGCATCAGATGTTGGAGTATGGACAGAAAATAGACGTAGGTCTTCGGCAGAGCGCAGGGGCCTCGACGGGACATACTTGTGTGTTAGGGTAGGTAGATTGGAGCAGCATTATGTAGGGACTTGTAAGCAAGCACCAGAATCTTAAATTGAGCCCTACATCTAACTGGAAGCCAATGCAGAGACTGACAGAGAGGGAAGGCGTGTGAGGTGCGGGCAGACAGAAAAAAATTAGCCTTGCCGCCGCATTCATTATAGTTTGCAGCGGTGCAATCTGGGAACACGTAAGACCACTGAGAAGGGGATTGCAGTAGTCAAGGCGAGAAAGAACAACGGCATGGACCAGCACCTTAGCTGCGTCTGGTGTTAAATAAGGGCGGATACGAGCTATTTTTTTTTTTGATGGAAGCGGCAGGATTTGGCAATCAACTAGACATGAGGGGTGAAGGCGAGGTCGAACATTGATATCTGTATCTGCATGTTTCTGTAATCACAGAAGAATCCTATAGGCCTGCTCTGTCCACCTGTCGGACAGTGAATGGGATTTAAATTGTGCAACGGCGATCCTGCTAAAAACCTCTGTGTACTCATTGTACCTAGATTGGTATCAGCTGATGAAGCCCACATAGGCTTAAACAGTTGTGTGGTATAGCGGCATCTCTCATCCGGTATTTCCATTCTCGACTACATTTGTGGGCATGCTCAGTCTGATATGCAATTGGTATCAGCTATCTCTGCAATGAAGAAAGTGAGCTACGCCCTTACAAATCTATTTCACAGGGCGTCCTTGACACGTACTTCCAGACATGCACGCAGATATACATATTTCAAGAATTGCACAAATATGAATGTACTCTAAATACACAAAGCTACAGACTGCCAGACATACATACACGTTCAGATAAAAACTCAAAAACATACATTTGCTGCTGCAAATAGGCATTCTGAAACAAACACATAGTTACACATTTGCAGACAAACGTTCATGCACTAATACACATACTGCCAGTCACACACAGATACATATTATTAGACACACACATTCCAGGCATACACTGCCACACACAGATACACATACATAGAAACAAATGAATAAATGCATATATCAAGCCAACCTGAAACATCTCTATACCAGAAAGCAGACACCTATGGTTCATTTATATTGCTGTGCTACATTAAAATTACTTTTGCTCATCATGATGACATTTTTGTTAGTATCAAAAGCAAATGCAGTACCCTAATGTAAACTTTTACCTTTTGGAACGTTTCCTTTGATATTAAGGCAGCTTTCATCTGTTGGTCTCCATAGGTGTAGATCACAGAACGGTATTGAGTCCCTATATCCACTCCTTGCTTCATTCCTGATAAGACAAGATGATTAAGTAGCTTTTGCAAACGGTTATCTACTTGAATATCCCTGTCTAATACAAAGCGCTTTATATTGCTATTTTGAAGTTATTTTTTTACATATGTGGTATAAATCTCTAGGGCAGAAAAAGTTTACATTAGAATACCCGGTACAGGATTCACTCGCGTATTCTCTGGCAGGGAAAGGGTTACACTGCAAGGCTGCAGTTTCTCTCTCACAAGAGGAAAGTACATTTTCAGACTACAGTGCTGCTATATACATAACGATAAACTGAAGGATCACAGAATTCTCATCCTGGTAGGGAAAGTGTTACATTGCTTGACTGCAGTATTCTTTTCTAAAAGGGAGAGTGTTAATCTGACAGAGTACAAGATTTGTTATCAATAAGAGTTTTTCTGGCAAGGAAAGGATTACATTGACAGACTGTAGCACTTTCTCTATTGCAAGGAAAGGGTTATACAGTCAAACAGCATGGGGTACCATTGGCATATCCTGCTATGTTCTCCAGTTGGCACTGGAAGGGGTTAGAACGTTAGAGAGCAGAATTCTCCAGAGTGTGGAAAAGAGTGAAACTGTTGAGAGTGTCTAATTAAATAATTTTGACTCTGACAATGAAAGATAGCACTAGCCAGACACTCTCTTCATTGAGCTAAGCCCGGCAGAGTGCCCAAACTCTAAGCCAATGAGCAGGCCATGCACAGCAGAGTTTAGCTCTGGAGTGCTAATGGAAGTTCCTAGACTCTGGCTCTCCATGGAGGTTGAGACAAGCTGACTCAAAGTTAGGAGTCAAAATAAAGTGGGTTTGCGCCAGATCACGTGGCACCATAACTAACACAACACACTGTAGTGATTATTGTGCTCCGAGTGTACCTATAAGATCTTCACTGAGAGAAAATACCATCTTAATTATATTGAAAATAATACATTTTTTTTCATTTGTGACCTGTGACCAGGTGTATGCAGAATTGTGATTTTTTTTTTTTCCATTCAGGTACATAACAAGATAACCCAAATGCAAAAGTGCCCAAAGAAATCTAATTAGGAAATAGGAGCGAAATAGGAGAAGCCTATGAGTGGCATCTTTAATGTATTTCACCAAGTGAGCTTTAAAATATCCCAAAAGTTAATAGATAGGATCTCCATGGACTCTGCTTTTAAAACTTTTGTTGCTGGTGGAGGGGGAATAGTTACCCTCTGTTGGGTTGTGGTTCTCCCAAAATATCTTCAATAATGTTGAATAACTTATCACTTTAGGGTCAAACACAATTCGAACAACCTCGACGTGAGCTGTGAGACCTGTAGGCGAAAAAGAATGATCAACTGATAAGACATCAGGTAAGAAACAAAACACTACGCTCAGCTCAGGAATATAGATATATCAGACAGGGATACAGGCGTAATGTATATATTATTTTTGTGGCTGTTTTGTGTATTTTTTTTATTTTAAATTGCGCAAGACTAAGGTTAATCACCAAACACAGAATTTAGCAAGATAAATCTGAATGGTAAACCTGATTCTAGAATAGTTGTTTTGGAAACAAATCTCCAACTCCGCTATAGTCGTAGGTTGACTATTAACAATTTTGTCATTCGCATATAATTTATGGAAAATCTGGTATTTAGTGAATACACCTGTATGGGTCCCAGCTCCCTGTGGAGTGAAGATGAGACAGAATGAGGGGAGCATAATTCATTTAAAAATATTTTTCATTTGCAGACTTATTAGGGCCACTTTGGTGCTTTTATCTAAAGCTCTGAAATGTCTAAAGGGATTTGATATAAGTAAAGATTATGCACAGTCTTGGGTTATGAAAGTGTTACTATTATTTATTGGAAGATACTAGAGGACCTACCCAATATAATGATAACGATCAATTAAAACATATGTATGGTACTGGGGTTATGAAAGTGTTACTATTATTTATTGGAAGATATAGCAGCGAAACCAAAATCTTCCTTTTCTGTTACACCTAGTTTGACTGTGCCACAATGGCCTGTTGAGACCCGTTTTGATCAGACGGTGACATTGCCACTAGAGGTCTGGCCACAGGGGGGGCAGGTAAATGTGAGATTACGTGACTAAACCTGTTCCTTTGTGGCACCTCCATCTTTCTTGCCCTGAACTTGTCCCTCGTGGCACCTCCATCTTTCTTGCCTTGCTCCTTGTTAACTTCTGTCACTTCAGCGCCAGGAGCCAACGTCACTGCTGTACTCTCAAACTTGTGCAAGAGTACAGCATTGAGGTCTATTGACTCTTAAAGTCTGCCTTGAGAAAGTCATACGGAGGACATATACAGAGACAAAATACTCCCTAATTTGTCTCTATATATCTCTTGACTAGCTTGGAATGTGAGTGAAATTCCAACAAAGTCAAAATGTGTATTTCACAAAGATACTCACTTTAATTGTTCTTGATTAAGCCATTTACCTGTGCACACCTCTTCATAAGTGGGATTTGGGGTATAACCTCCAGCGTATCCCACCTGTGTGGAGAAGACACCTTTCTGATTCCAAAACAGCTTCTCAACTCCCCAAAAACAGCCCATTCCTTAAAAAAATAAAAATAAATATATAATTATTATTATTTATATAGTACAAAAATGTAGTGTAGAACTACTCAATGGATAATCAAACAAAAATATACAAATAGAATAAAACACATTTAAGAAAATAGGAACTTATGAATACTTAAGTACATCTAGTGCCAACTTGTTTTGCGGCACTTTATAATATGATGAAGGGGGAATTTAACAATAAATTAGACAACTACAAAATGTTACAGAAACAATAGGTTGATGAGGACCCTGCTAAAAAAGCTTACAATCTAGAGATGTGGTATAAAAACACAATAGTAAACGCAGTGTGGGGGATCATAAATGGTGAATATAAATTAACCAGACTATATGTGGAATAACTCTTATACTAACACAAATAAGCAATCATTCAACAAAGCAAGAGTTGAGCATGGAAGGTACAATTGTGTTCCAATTAAACAGTAATATTATAAGGGAGGGAGGAAAAGAGTAATATAATTGAAAATTAAGATATAGATTCATAAAATAAGCAAGATTAATAAGGTTAACCTTCAAAGAACATCTTGGGGGGTGGGGGGAAAATTCCAAGCATAGCTTAATCATTTGACAACAGTAAATTGACATTTCCTTCAAACCCTTCTGGTAAAAATTCTTCCACAACACCCAGGAAAAGCGCTACTCATTGATGGATGACAACATTTACTTAAGTCGCCAAGATATAGCCATCACTCATCGTGGTGACCTTCTCAACCTCTTCTATTCACAAAAAGATGGAATATTGCACGCAAGTGTCCTTGCTGGCGGACTAGGCCTTTTTATTGCGGACCCTTTGCCGGACCATGACACCGCTACTTGTGGAGCCCCACACATCTGAACTATTGTCCCCGTTGAGCCCTGTATGTCTATGGATGCCAGGTGAGGATGACTAAGGCAGGACTCTAGATTTATGCTCATACCGTTTTCTTTATTTAACCTACTGTATTTGGTTTCATGACCTGTATTTTTATTTGTCTTACTTTTTTTCCCCATTTAATGTTACTTGTCTTGTTTGTTTGTGCAAGACTTCCCTCCACCCCTCTGTGCTCAGGGGTTAACGAGCTATATGTATATACTGAATAGTGTCCTTTTTAAATGAGAGCATTCCTTACAGAAGCCATTGTTGTTGAGTACACCATCTTTTTTATCAGCTACTTTTCTTTGCTTGTATTTGTTCCTTTATATATATATATATATATATAGGTACTGACTATCTATGCTATTTGCTGTATACCTACATATGATAAACGAATATGTGCTCCAACATATTGTGCTCAGGGGTTAATGAACTGTATATATCTCTAATGCGTAGACCTGATAATGTTCTTCTTAACTGCATGCACTCCTTATGGTCCCCATAGTTTTAGAGTGTTCTGTTTTTTACATCATCTGGTTCTCTTCACTGTTATTGGTTACTTTATATAGTTAAGAAAGGCACTGTCTATCTGTGATATCTTCAATCAACCTGCTTATGATTGTTATGATTATGAAACCAAAACATTCTGTACATGTACCATTCTTGTACCAAATAAAATTATTAAAAAACAAAAAACAGAACATAAAAAACTAAATTCTGCATCTAGAGGTCACTGAAAATGCAAACAGAAGGAGTTCCACTGTTTGATTAGCATGTGGCAGATTTGTTTCTGCTATGAGACCATTCTATCATATGTTAAAAGCAATGCTTAGTTAAGGAACACTAGGAAATACAGAGTGTTATAACCCCATAGACTGTAAGCTCGTTTGAGCAAGGTCCTCTTCAAACTATCGTTTCTGTAAGTTTTTTTGTAATTGTCCAATTGATAGTTAAATCCCCCACTCTTATAATATTGTAAAGTACTAAGGAATCTGTTGGCGCTTTATAAATGGCAATATTAATAATAACTATTAGACCATAATATCGTTATATTTGAAAAGTTTATGCCTAGATATGTCACTGCCATATTTACAATGTCTGTTATATGTATGCCTCAAAAAAACATTGATTGACAAACAATGTAAACATTTACAGTAGCCTGAAGTTTTTGCACAGCAGCATATAAAGTACTTATTACCATGACTTAAAAAGGTGAACATCCTCCCGGTCAAGATAATCGCATGCTGCAGGTCTGATCTACTGACCCTTATGTAAGTGATCGTTGTTTGAAAGGGGGAAGGTAGGGAAGGATATTTTTAAATTATTTGGCATTAAAATGGAATGAAACATAAAACATTAAAATAACTAGTAATATTTATGATACAGACACAAATCGGAGCAACATAGCTATATTTTAAAGAGAGAATCATATATTCATTAAAATGATTATTCAAAGTAAATTTTACATTTAAAGGGAAACTATTGAGCTAGGATTACAAAGATTTATACCCTATAGTGCCCCCCACCTCGCATTTTTTTCCATGACTGTGAGTGCTTGAATTCAGATAAAGTTATCCAAAGCCTGTAGATGCCAGGAATATAAAATTCATTGCAAGACTGTAAATGTATAACAACAGTGAAACTCCGGGGAGGGGAGTGCCCGGAGTAAGAAATTCACACATGGTTGTGAGTGCATAGAATTTAAAGGATCACTATAGTGTCAGGAAAACAAACTCGTTTTCCTGACACTATATAACCAATAGGTCCCCCTCACCCGCTGGGCTGAAGGAGTTAAAACCCCATTAGCCACTTACCTTTATCCAGTGCCAGGCACCCTTGGCGCTGGTGACCTCTCCTCCCCCGCCGATGTCCGCTCCCGAGTGGAGCAGAAAGCACATGCGCGACAAGAGCTTTCCTATTGATGTTCTGCACGCTGAATGCGATTTTCGCATCCAGCGTCGCAGAAGCGCCTCTAGCGGCTGTCAGGAAGACAGCCACTAGAGGCTGGATTAACCCTGCAATGTAAACATAGTGGTTTATCTGAAACTGCTATGTTTACATCTGAAGGATTAAAACCTGGGGGACCTGACACCCAGACCACTTCATTGAGCTTAAGTGGTCTGGGTGACTATAGTGTCCCTTTAATTCCAAAACTGTGAGTCTATGGAACCAAACAACTTAAATTCCAGGGCTGGAGGCTGGAACCAAAGTTTACAGACCTTTCTGAATTACTCAAATAATCAAAAACAGCTTTTAAAAGTTGCTTGCTATCCAATTCATTTACTTCTTATTGGGCTGTAATACAACTCAATGAGAAGTCCTAGCTGGGTGGGCAAGTGCCGTTGTGTATGTGTACGTGATTGGAGAGCTGTGTGCACACAGCTCTCAGACGTTGATTGTCTTGCCTGCCTAAGCGGGCAGAAACGATCACTAGGCCACCAGGGAAATAAAGTACATTTTTGATGTCTGTGAGCTCTGGGAATGCATATGCATGGGCTCACAGACACACTGACACTTGGGGGAGAAGGCAGACGCACTCTAGCACACTGATTAACAGTTGGGTAGGTGTTTCTGAAATTATTTATAAAAGCACAAATTTTCAATAAAAAAGCAACACTTATGAACTGCAATTAAAATGAGCATATCTTCATACAGGCAGTACAGCAAGCTGAAGTGCTGTGTGTGTGTGGAGTGTTACTTTGTGTAAAGTGGACTTTCTTGTAAAGAGATGCATAGTAGCCTCTGTTTATTGTACTTTATTCCTTATTTTGGGAATACAATGTTATACATCATCTGTATCTGTGTTCCTTTAAGTGATACCATATGTAGCTGAGATGCCTTTAATCTGCGTATCAGTTCCAAACAAATTTGATTTTTCTGTTTGTATCAGCCTGATATTGTCAGGAATTCATAGTGAATTTAAAAATAATAATAATCTGAGAAAAAAAATCTTAGCTATGCTTACAGTTCGGCAACTTAACTTAAATTATTTTGTAATTCCCACAATTTTTACTTTGGTGGATAACACCGATTGTGTTCTGTTCTAAAAAAGGGTCTAACGTACTAAAAGTTGAGCAATCACTATGGAAACCAGTGTAGTCTTCAGGGACATTCAGTTGGTGCCTTATCATTTACAATTTTGCTTCACTTCTTAGAACAGAGGATGTTGATAAACGTCCTCCAAATGTGTCACAAATATATAATTCCACCCTGGGAGAGGGAAGCTTACTCAGTGTTATTATATCTATCATTAATTGTGCATGCTCACCGAACATGGCCAGTTCAAGGCCTGCTGGGAATGGTTCCAATGTCGTATTTCCATTTACAGTATGTTTTGCTGTAAGAAAAAAAATTACATAATTAGAGAAAAAGGCAAATATTCTGGCAGATTCTTTGAGTTGAGTTACTGAATTACTTAGGATAATAAATTCTGTGTGTAAGGAAGGTCACTAGAGTGAGATTATTAACTGTGTTCATTTCCTACTTTCTCAAAACAAGAAAAAGTTTGCTTAATAGTGTTCTATATGAAAACAGGACAGCCACACCGGAACAGTTCTTACCAGCTACTTGAAGAGTCTCAGCCCGTCCTGGTAAAGCCTCCTGGGCTGTGGGTAGAACAGTTTTGCTCGGCATAGCTGTGGGATTCAAATGTTGGAAAAAGCAGGGACAGCTCAAAGTATTTATAGTAGTAATTAACAGGAGGGGACATAGGTCAAAGATACACCTCTAAGTAAGCATTGGCAGAGAAAAACTGCATTTGATACTAGAAATGAAAAGTCATGAGACAGCAAAAGGACATCATCCCTGTTCCACCTACTGCAAGGTGGCATTTGTACACTAATGTACAGGGCCAAGCAGGGTTTCATAAACATGAGAACTATTGGGACATTGTTGTTTCTTTGGCATGATCACCAATGGATTTTAGACCCTTTTGGCAGCCAAGTGGCTACACTGCAAATGTGGCGGTCAGTTACTGAGCAGGTGTTTAAAAAAAAACCCCCCAAAAAAATAAATAAATAAATAATCAAAGGTTCAAATAGTCACTTTAACAGCTAAAGGATGTGTCTACCTTTGGCTTTAGGGGGACACTGGTCATCAGCACAACTATAATGTATTTTAAAGGTTTTGCCCTCAATATTATGCTATAATATACTTGCTTTCTCCATCTTCCTTATTGGTATTTGTAAAATGTTGCCACGGCCAACACAGGGTGAGTGAATCTGATGGAAGTTGAGAAGACTGCATTAGAAGATGATATCCAGGCTGACAAATATTAAGCATATCATTACATGTATGTCCCCTATTTGGGTGTAATTTGAAACATTAAACCCCTAGGTTTGTCCTGCTCACTGTGGGAGCTAAGATCTGGCAAGTGAAGTGCTATTTAAAAGATCTTTATGTAAAGTTTTGTTAATGCACATATTTTATGGTAAAATATCTTATGCACTTTACAGTGCCAACACAAATTACTTAAAAAAAAAATAAAAAAATAAAAATGGTAGGGCTTTTTTGGTACTATATTTATATAAAAGAAAGTGTATAGTCACTATAGTGTCACTATAGTCGAATGTCCCCAATTTGATCTCGCTGGACAGAAATCAGAATGTAACCCTCAAACAGACCATACCCTCCCATAGATAATTTAGTATTACTATCCAGAAGAATTAAAGATTAACCTGCGATTTTGTTTGATCCAAAGAACATTTTGGACAAGCTCATTAAGGAACTTAAAGGGCCAACACTAGACAGCCATAATAGACTAAGAAGGCAGGGCAAACCCTGCATCTTTTCCTTCCAAAACTGGTCCACTCATGCCAAAGTTTACTTCTGCAGTACTCTCCTCCCTCTTCCGACGTCATCCGCCGAATGCGCATGCGCGGCATTCAATTAGTCCATAGGAAAGCATTTCTCAATGGTTTCTTATGAACGTCAGCGTCTTCTCACTGTGATTTTCACAGTGAGAAATGCGGAAGCGCCTCTAGCGGCTGTCAATGAGACAGCCACTAGAGGCTGGATTAACCCTATTGTAAACATAGCAGTTTCTCTGAAACAGCTATGTTTACAGCTGCAGGGTTAACCCTAGATGGACCTAGCACCCAGACCACTTCATTGAGCTGAAGTGGTCTGGGTGCCTATAGTGGTCCTTTAAATTTGAAATCCACTATAAATTCTCACTTTAGTAAATAACCCTGCAAGTTTGGAAATCTTTCAAAAGAATGGCATGTTTAAAGCCTTTTCCTGTTTTGGGCTGCAGAAAGATGTCATTCACCAGTTGCTAAGGCCAGCATAAAAAGGGGCATTAATTCTCGGGATGAAAATATAATTTTGCCTCTATAAATCAATGGTAAAACAACACCTTTAATATTCTGTGCAATGTTGAGCACCTGTTCTAAAAAAGGATATTATGGCATTAGAAAAAGTGATGAGGAAAGCTACAAAATTAATAAAAGAAAAAGTATTTAGTTGTGAAGAACAGTTACATTTCAATCTGTTTAGTTTATTAAAAATTGCACATAATAGGGGATATTATAGCTTAAAACCAAATGTATTCAAAGCCAATGCAAACCATTGAAAAGAAAATAGAGCTGATCTGTATAGTCACAAAAAATTGTGAGAATATCAGATCAATCCTAAGGTGAGCCTAACAAAGAGCTACAGGATAAGGGGTAACCCAAAAATAGTCATACACAAATGAAGGAAACCCTTGAAATAAGGGGGTCCCAGAGTGTAGCTCTAATTGCACAGAGATACCCTAATCTTGACAGTAGCTATATTGGGTCAATAACAGTAAGCCAGGTATAACGGGAGAGGAGGGGAGGAGGGTGCCAACTCCCACTATCCTTAACCCTGCGAGTTTAATTATTGCCGTTTTTATAAACTGCAATATTTACCTTGCAGGGTTAAGTCCTCCTCCAGTGGCTATCAGACAGTCACTAGAGGGACTTCCGTGTTCATAGAACACAAAAAGTGTTTTAAGCAACACTGGACCTCCTCACGTTATGTAAGGACCTCGCCGAAATCCCCATAGGATGGGGAGGTCTAATGTGCGTGTGCGGCCGTTGCTACGCATGCGCATAAGGTCTCCCCCTAATATGTTTTCCTGGCACTGGAGAATCCCTTTTGAGTCTCAAGAGGGTGGGGGCGATATCATTATAGCCCCTATTGTGATTCTCTATTGGGATTTGCTATACCAATCTCCCAGTATACATGCTTCCTCTACCTTCCCTCCTCCCCTCTTATACCTGGCTTACTGTTATTGACCCAATCTAGCTACTGTCTAGATTAGGGTATCTCTGTGCAATTAGAGCTACACTCTTGGACCCCTTTGTTTCAAGGGTTTCCTTCATTTGTGCAATGCAAACCATTGTCTTGAAATCTATCCATAAACACGACTATGCATAGGACACAATTTTAGGCTACGAATGGGTGACCATCAATTTAGACTTGAAGAAAGGGTTCTTTACAGTAAAAATAAGGATGTGGAATTATCTGCCTGAATAGGTGGTGCTTTTATATGTACAGATAAATAAGAAAAAAAAATAAAGTGCTTTAATGGTTTGGAGTGTCCCTTTAAACAGCAACGTTCATGCCCCAAACAATTTATGCTAATTAGATTGAGCATAAGATTCTACCTGTACATTATGCTAGCGCAAATGTATAGATTAGGTAAAAAAAAATTAGATTTTTCTCCCAGCTGTCAGTCAATGCCTCGTCATGCCAAGTCGTTCAAGGGATACTGTAGGCAGCGCATTGAAGTGGTCTGGGTGCTGTGACCCTTAGTGATGCTTGGGAGGAACAATACTTGGGAGGAACATTTGGCCCATATAGGGGCCGTGTTAGATAGAATCCGAGAGGCCGGATTAACCCTTAAACCAGCGAAATGCTGTATAGGGATGGCAGAGGTACAGTACCTCGGACACAGAGTGGGGTGTGGGAAGCAGAAACCTGAACCTGCTAAGGTAGAGGCAGTAGCCCAATGGCCCACCCCCAGGACAAAAACCCAGGTCCTTGCTTTTCTAGGGACGGCCGGATACTACCGCAAGTTTGTTCCCAATTATAGTGCCCTGGCCAAACCCCTCACTGATCTTACCCGTAAAAATGTACCCCGCCAAGTAACCTGGACCCCGGAGTGTGAGAAGGCATAAAACCTGTTGAAGGATGCACTTGTTAATGCCCCTGTCTTGGCCGCTCCCGATCCAACTAAACGTTTTCTTGTTTACACAGACGCTTCTATGTTTGGATTGGGAGCAGTTCTAAGCCAAGTCGGGGCCGATGGCGGAGAACACCCAGTAGCCTACATCAGTCGGAAACTATTACCTAGAGAAGTGAGCTATGCCGCCATCGAAAAGCAGTGCCTGGCTGTGGTGTAGGCCTTGAAGAAATTGCAGCCATATTTGTATGGACAGCCCTTTTCCTTGCTCACGGATCACAACCCGTTGGTCTGGCTAAACCGGGTGGCTGGGGACAATGCCAGGCTGCTGCGCTGGAGTTTGGCACTGCAGCCTTTTGAGTTCAACATCCAGTACCGCCCGGGCAAACAGAATGGGAACGCTGACGGGTTGTCAAGACAAACTGACCTAGAGAAATGATCCGTGAGCCTCCCCGGACATCCCCAAGCCGATCCGTGTTGGATCAGACTGTGTATGCCGGCTTGTGGGCAAGGGGGAGCAGAGTAGCGGATGGCCCTGGGCTGTCCTGAGAATTTCATGTATTTTAATGGGTTCGCGTTAAAAAAGCAAGTTCTATGTATGTAATGGTATTCGTCTGAATGTTAGGTAGTTTCATTCCCTTAGTTTGTTCGAATGAAACTACCGAACAGTCAGACCTACCCTGTGTGAAGTGTGTTCTCAATTACACGTTGCAACATTGTTGCGAACGGGTAATTGACAAGTTAAGTAGCCGTCCTTTGTTTTCGGGGGTGACCGCCATTCGAAAAACGAACACGTGGCGGCGGCAATTTTAAAACTCCCGAACAGCGGTGTTTTGCCGCTGAGTGTCTGGAACTCAAATCGGACACTCGACTAGGCGAACACCGCTGAAACCTCCACAAGCCCGGTCCGTTCGGTTCCTAACTACCGAACGGCCCCTCGTTCGGTAGATAGAAAGAACCGAACGAGGGGATTCAGGCGAACCCTCCCTAGCCTCTATAGCTAGAGGTTTTCGTGCCATTTATTCCGACCCAGGACCAGTCGGTCATTTTATTCCCTCCATAAATTTCCCGAACCCCTGATCTGATCTGGGTGATTTTTGGATATGTTGTTCACCCAGATCAGGGCTACCAGGGGATGTATGATTTAAAGTGGTACCCCTAAGTTTAGGGGTACATCCAGAAACGGGGGGAATTGGTGTCCTGGATAAGGGGATTATGATGCAGGCTGAGGGGAGGAGAGGTGTGGGAGGTTACCAGAGCACGATTGGCTACTGTACTAATGAATGAAAATCCCTCCCTTGCATGGGAGCAGGCTTTAAAAGGCCACTGTCTGAATAAAGGGTTAGTTATGCTCCTGAAACTGTGTCGTCCAGTTATTGGGAATTGCTGTTGGGATATCGCTGCTGGATACTTTACCCTATGGATTTATAATTGCTTGTTCCTGAGTCTCCCTGGGATCTAAAGTGGAGATAGGCTGTGGTATACCAGCTCTCCGCTACCCAGTGTATTAATTGGGAGGGAGGCAGTGTATTAAATTGGGGGAGCGAGGGGACCAGTGTATTAATTGGGGGGGTATTAAATTGGGTGAGGTAGTGGACAGTGTATTAGTGGTAGGAGAGGAAGGCAGTGACAGAGTTTGGGTGAGGTACTGGACAGTGTGTTAAATTGGGTAAAGGGGGGGAAGTGTATTAGAGTGGCGGGAGGGGGGCAGTGTGTTAAATTGGGGGAAGAACAGTATTAAACTGAAGGTAAGAGGGGGGCAGTGTATTCAATTAGAGTGTAGGAAGGGACAGTGGGGGCAATGTATTAGAATGGGAAGAGGGGGCAGTGTATTACATTGGGTCTGCATAGAGACGCTGAATGCTCCCCATGGAGATGCTGACTGGCCGCGCAGCTTTTTGCCACACATGGACAATAGCCTCCCAATGCTTTCCTATGGGAAAGCATTGGATTGGCTGGGATCAAGTTTGATTATCTCAGCCAAAGTGCAAAATACACTCATAGGACTTCAAAAATCAACGAGATAACGTAATTTGTTTTTTTTCTACAGCTCTGCAAAAGCATACATTCACCATTTCATTCCTATTACCAAATGTTTCTCAATATGTCAAGGTGGTTTGACTGAAACATTGGTTATATGGAAATGCACGTCTCCTTAAAATATTTTTGTTCATTTGCTTACTTTGTAGCCTTACGAGCGTGAGGACATCCAGTATCAGTTAGACAACTTTTTTTTTTATACTGTACTTTTCTAAATAAACCTAAGTTTCTATGAAAGCAGAAGTTTTGTTTTTTTGTGGCCCACAAACATTAAACTGGTTTATTTGGCCCACGTTAGCCTTTGAGTTTGACATGCTTGGCCTAAATTGCCCCTTTCAGACCCTTAAGGACCGAGGACGTACCAGGTACGTCCGACATAATATGGTATTACACGATATGGTATTACATAGACGTACCTGATATGGTATCGAGGCATCGTGTAATATCCCCCTACACTGCAGGGGACCCGAGGGATATATTTATATCAAAATACACTTTGAATTAAATAATATATATATATATATATATATATATATATATATATATATATATATATATATTAACAAACAATTTCCAGACTGCACTCACGGTCTTAAAGTTGAAAATCTTTCTTTATTTCATATAACAAATCGATTTGATTTGTTATATGAAATAAAGAAAGATTTTTAACTTTAAGACCGTGAGTGCAGTCCGGAAATTGTTTGTTACTACTACCTATTGCCCTAAGAGACTGGCACCCGGCAAGTACTTTATTGTTTACATTTTTGAGCGTGAGTGCATGGATTCACTGACTGTTATATATATATATATATATATATATACATATATACATATATATACATACATATATATACACACATATACATACACACATATACATACACATACACACGTCCACAACAAATAGGAGCACTGGACCGACCATCTGCTGCGATCACAGTCGGGGAGGACTGCCAGAGACCCTAGCAGTCCACCTACAGCAGCTCCGGGCACCGCAACCATGTGATCATATCACCGCAATAGGACTCTAGGAGCTGCCAGCAGGGGGGACTGTCTGAGCTGTCAGGCAGTCCTCCAGGCTGCAAAAAAAAAAAAAAAAAAAGTAAATATATTATACATATACAGATGGTCCTCATTTAGCCACCTCTCTGTTTTACCACGGCTCGTACTTACGACCAGGCGTAAGTGCGAGCAGTCATAGGGAATCCCTGCTCTTGTGCGCATGTCTATGTTCGGGAAAACTTCCACGAACATAGACGAACGCACAAGAGATTCGGAGAAGTTTCTCTCAACAGACGAATGCACCAGAGCAGGGAATCCCTTAACTCCTCTGTAAGTGAGGAGTGTCTGTATTAGGGATCGGCCAATTATCAGTTCTACCAATATTATCGGTCGATATTCGTTATTTTCGGCAATATTGTTATCGGCCAATATAGATACCGATATTGCCGATAATACCTCCTAGAACCGCCGGGTTCATTTCAAGCCGGGCGATCCTGGTTACCATGACAAAGGTTCGCACGGCACGCAAACCGTGAGATTTACACAGGGAGCTGAAGGAAATTTAAGTAAGCACTTGCTGGCCCTTCACTGCTCAGTACATGCCACTGGACCACCAGGGAATGCCTTAGCCACCGTCCCTGGCCAGGTAACAAGCAGGGATGGGGGACAAAAAAATAAAACAAATATTAAAAATAAAATTAAAATAATTTTACACAAATTACATCCCTTCAGAAACACACACTGTCTTTGTGTAGTGTGTATATAATGAATGCAGAGTGTGTATGTGTATATAATGAATGCAGTGTGTGTGTGTGTGTGTATATATATAATGAATGCAGAGTGTGTATATAATGAATGCAGAGTGTGTGTTTGTGTATATAATGAATGCAGAGTGTGTGTTTGTGTAGCGTGTGTATAATGCACACACCCTGCATTCACTATATATACACGCTACACAAATACTCACTGCATTCACTATATATACACACTACACAAACACTCACTGCATTCACTATACACACTACAAAAACACACCCTGCATTCGTCATATACACACTACACAAATACACACTGCATCCACCAGACAAAACGCACACAGCTCCCCTGTCTAAACACACTGCATCCACTACATGTGGCATGTATAGTTTGTGCATTTGCCTTAAGAAATCGTTTATTTTTTCAAAATGGTAAATGTACAGAATATCGGCAAGTTATCGGCCTGAAAGTTCACAGATTAATGGTACCGGCTCTAAAAAAAAAAAAAAAAATTAAAAAAAACTATATTGGTCGATTCCTAGTCTATATTATATATGTATTATATTATAAAATAATTCAATCATTTTATATGTTATACATATATAATGCATCTATATGATTTTATTATAAGTGCACTTTGATATGTATGTATACACACACACACCTCAAAATACACTTATGAAGAAATCATATATTTATAATATATTATAAAATGATTTAATTATAATATATTATACATATGTAGGAAATAAAAGTGTGTGTGTGTATATATATTATATAAAATTTATAAAAATAAAATAAAACTGGCCAGCGTTTGTGACTAAGTGGCTACTACAAAAGACTGGACATACCCCATTTTGAATACCCTGGGTTGTCTACATTTGAAAATGGTATGCCATAATGGGGTTATTTCATATTCCTGGGCTACCATATGGTCTCAAAAGGCAACACAGACCCAGCAAACCAATCTGGCAAACTGAATTGGGCAAGCCCTATATTGACCCTGTAACTTTCCAAAATACCATAAAACCTGTACATGGAGGGTATTGTTATACTCAGGAGGCTTCGCTGAACACAAATATGAGTGTTTAAAACAGTAAAATGTATTGAGACGACAAAGTCACCAGTAAAAGTGTTTTTTGTGTAAAAAAAATAAATGAAAAAAAACAAACAAAGAAAACCGCTAACTTTGGCCATCGTTTGTGACTAAGTGGCTACTACAAAAGACTGGACATACCCCATTTTGAATAACCTGGGTTGTCTACTTTTACAAATGATATGCTATGATGTGTTTAATTTTCATTCCTGGGCTGCAATATGGTCTCAAAGGCAACATAGGCCCAGCAAACTAATCTGGCAAATTTCAATGTGCAAACATGGAAAAGCCCTACATTTGACCCCAGTAAGTTTGCAAAAGCCCATAAAACCTGTACATTGGGGGCACTTTTGTACTCAGGAGATGTTGCTGTACACATATTGGGGTGTTCTGTTAGTAACACATAACAGGAACTGAGAATCCATGCCTAAAGTACAATGTGAGAGAAAAAAAAAAAACTACTTTCCAAAAGATTGACAAAGACCAGTGGTAGAATTAGTGCATGGAAAGTGTTAAAATTCCACCATTTGAAATACCCTAGGTGTCTACTTTCTAAAAATATATGGTTTGATGGGATGGGGGGGGGGGAGGGGGAGGGGGAGGGGGGGCAAATAACATTGGCCAGCTTCAGAAATGTCCCAAATAGGACATGGGTGCATGATGACCAGCTGAGAAAATTCCAAGTTGGAAAACTCGAATGCGCACCCTCCAAATAAGGTATTTTAGCCCCCAGAGAATTCGACACACCTATACATGGGTGGTATCACTGTACTCAGGAGATGTTGCTGAACAAATATTGGGGTGTTCTTTGGCAATAAAACTTAACCCCTTAAGGACACATGACGTGTGTGACATGTCATGATTCCCCTTTATTCCAGAAGTTTGGTCCTTAAGGGGTTAAAGTTCTCCATACATGTATTCTTAAATTGCTATGTGTGACAAAAAAAAAAAAAAACACCAATTATAAAAAATTTTTACATTTGGCATAGATTGGTGGTAAAATGGCTGCATGAAAAGAGTCAAAATACCCCAAGTTTAATACCTTAGGTTGTCTTCTTTTAAAAATATATACATGTCTAGGGTTTTTCAGGGATACCTGGCAGATAGTGTTACAATGTAACTTGCTTTAATTTTGGGAAAAAATGGTTTGGAAATAGCAAAGTGCTACTTGTACTTATAGCCCTATAACTTTCCAAAAAAAAAAAAGCTAAGAACATGTAAGCATTGGGCATTTCTAAACTCAGGACAAAATTTAGAAACTATTGAACACGGGTGTTTTTTTGGCAGTTGTAGAAGCTCAACATATTTTGGGGGTCAAAGATCGAAAAAGTGTGTTTGTTTTAAATTTTTTCATCATATTTTATAATAGTTTTATAGTAAATTATAGAATATGATGAAAATTGTATCTTTAGCAAGACCATTTAATGGCGAGAAAAAAAAGGTATATAATATGTGTGGGTACAGTAAATGAGCAAGAGGAAAATTACAGCAAAACACAAACACTGCAGAAGTGTAAAAAGAGCCCTGGTCCTTAACAGTAAGAAAACTGAAAAACGGTCTTGTCACTAAGGGGTTAAAGGTTTCTCACCACTGTAAGCCTGCAGGGTGCA